GCTACAAAAACCATCTGATTTCCCCTTTAATTTTGGGTTTCGGGTCTGAATAAGAAGAGTACAGGGGGGCGGAGATGAAGAGATGGGGTTTGAAGATTTCAGACGATGACCCTCCTCCGACTTAGTCTCCGTCAGGATGAGGAAAAACGATCGTAACCCCAACCTCTCTTCTTCTTCTACCTGACACACTCTTTGATCTCCACCATTTGACGAGGAGCATCGGGGACCAGATGACTATGATGAAGAATTAAACCCAAATCATTAGTGGGTGTATTGTCATTTGTAAATTCTCAAAGAAGGAAGTGAGAACAGTTAGAATGTTCTCTGATGTTTTTGAGAACCTATTGACAGAAGTTTGGGAGACTCTTGACTGGAAAAAAAATTGTTACCGGAGTCAGTGGTCGGAAATGAAGAAGAAGAAGGAAGTGGGAACAGGAGTGGATTTTTTTTGCTTTTTTTTTTTTTTGCAAGTGATGTGATGAAGATGACAATGGGGAGGTGGATTTTTTTTGTGTGTTTGGGTGTGTGGTTGATGCCCACCAAGTGTTTGATCTTTTGATGCTGCATGTAGTTCTTAGTTGTGTTCATTGATTTTCAGTAATTTTGCTTCACAAATGTTTGTTTAAGCCATCAATTTGGCATTTAAATTTCTTGAAGCAATCTTAAATTCCCTAAATCAAAACTGGGTGGTGATGCCGTGAGAATCGCTTCCGGGAGAGAGAGAGAGAGAGAGAGAGAGAGAGAGAGAGAGAGAGAGAGAGAGAGAGAGAGAGAGAGAGGAGAGAGATGTGGCCCCAATTATTTATTTATTTTCTTTTCATTTAATTTCATATAAAAAAACATAAAAAAAATATATAGAAGGGGCATTTCAGTCATGTCAATTTTACCCGAGGACAAACTTTACCGTACAAACATGGCCAAAAGAACCACGAAGCCAAAAAAAGTTGAGGTTTGGACTAAAACCCCAAAAAAATGCATACCACAGGGACCATTTTTGCAGTTTTGTCACTTGATTTTAATCAATTTGAACTTGAGCTCAAGCTACTCGTTATTGAGCCGAGCTCGAGTAGTAAAATACTCGGCTCATAAATGGTTAAAAGAGTATGTGTTTAAATGGCACAAAACTCATTAAGCACTCTTTCACAAATATCATAAACTAGGTAGCATATGAAGCATTATACATGTAAGGGTTGCAAATCCCATTATGTTGTGATGTCATCTAGAATGTCGTCACAATCATCACAACCATTGCGAATTTGGATATCCAAGTCATCAAAAGTGTCTTACACCACATAAGTCTCGATCTTATTCTATTCATGGATCATCATGATTTAAAATCATTTGAAGACGATAAGTTTTCTCTATTTCAAAAGCATGTTCTAAAAAAAAGTTTAAGAGTGCAACAATATATTTATAGCATTTCAAACAAGATGAACATAATTTTTTAGGTTTTAAGCACTTCAACAAATGATAGATGATTTCACACACACACGGTAATAATACAAACAAAAGACAAGAGCATAATATTTACGTGGTCGTCTATGTCTACAGAGAGAGAGAGAGAGAGAGAGAGAGAGAGAGAGAGAGAGAGAGGAGAGAGAGAGGAGAGAGAAGAGAGCGAGAGAGAGAGAGAGAGAGAGAGCTTTTATTTATACTCTGCGATTAACCATCTCTTCGTCTCTTAGCTTCTTAGGTTACATGAATTCAAGGGATCTATATATAGGATATAAAATGAAAAAAATGATGTAAAAAGTGTGAATAAGGCTCCGCAACTTCACAAAAATAATACACAAATAAAAAATCTCAAAGTACAAAGATATAAAATATAGGACATGTACTTTAAGGTAAATACCCACCTCAATTACATACGTTTTCTTCTAATAAGCTCCTCTAAGTGTTTGAACTTTGAAGGATTATAAAATACTTAGATAAGCACAGTCAAACCAAGTGCCATCATTACTCAGCCAAAATTAAACTATCAAACTATAAATCCAAAAACATGTCTGCAAAGCCTTACAAAGTTTTGCAAGACTCTACCACCAAATTTGCAAGGCCTTACAAACCTACATCTAATGTCTAATGACACGCATTTTGTGACTTTTTGTGGAGCCTTCTATGAGGCCTTACAAACTTATCCGTAAGCCTTGCACATTTGAACGAAACTAAGGTGTTGTTTGTTTTTTAATAGGTAAAATGTCTGCAATCTGCGAACCATATCTGCAGAAATCTGTAGAAGAAGAGGTGGACCAAACGTCTGCAGTCTGCAGGAAAAAGACTGTTCGTTTTTTTTAAACTCTGCAGACTGTGTAAAAAAATAAAGTTTAAATAAACTTGGTTTTTTTTTTAAATTTAAAAGGCTATTCCAATAATTATAGTTTCATAATACTTAAATTAAAATTATACAACCACCATTATAGCTTTTTAATTTTTTAAAATTATTATTAATACTTAAAATTCAAAAAATTTGTTTTATATGATTAGGAAACATATTAATTATTGTATTTTCATGTATTCGTCCCCTAACTTATTAAATTATTAGATATTAGTTTTAAAACTAATATATTTCTTCACACACTATTTTAAATTGAATTATATTTTATGTAATATTTGAAGTAATGTTAATTGTGAAAAAACTAGGTGTTGTAAGAAAGTCATGTGTCCGACCCACATCGGTTTATTGAAGAAAGAAAAAAAGGGTGAGGCTTTTATATAATAAATACATAACTGAAAATAAAATAAAAAAGCAGTAGCCTTTTGTTCCTTACAAATTATAATGGAGGGCCGCATCATTTTTTATTGAAACTAGAAAGGTTACCCCGCTACGCGGGGCAGAAGTTTTCAATGTTGTTTCCGAATGATAAATATGACACACATAGAAAGTGCAATGATGAAAAGTCTGGGCTTTGCCCCGGACAAAAAATGTAAAAGTTTTGACTGCAATGACCAGAAGTGTGAAAATGGCTAAAGAATTAAAGGGGTAGGAATTAGCAACTTTTTAGAAAAGGGATCAAAGTTGTCAAGCCGTTAAAGTTTTGTGGCCAAACTTTAAATATTAAAAGGTTTAAGGGACCAAAAGAGACATGATTAAAAGTGATAAAATTCACAAACATAAAAAGTTCAGGGACCTGGAATGTAACTTAAGGGACCAAAAGTGACAAAATTTATGCCAAGTTTACTATTCCTTTCTTACACAATTTTAATATATATATAATAATTACACGAGCAATGTTCGAAGAGGTAAGAAGTGGATGGGCCAAGTCTGCTTCAAGAAGAGGGCGCGCGGACCTTTTTAGGTCTGCGGTCTTCTAAAAAACAAACGGTCTGCAAGGTTAAATGTCTGTGCGCCATCTACGGGGCGCAGACAAAAATGGTCAAGAAGAGCTTTTAAGAAAAAACAAACAACAACTAAGGCACTGCAAAATTTCCTAATCTAATTAACTCAAATCAACTAAGGTTGGACTTTAATTATTCGGGGCATATCCAAAACTCAACTTACAAATATAACAAAATTCTACTAACATCATTAACTTAATTAAATCCTTAATCTAAGTGATCGTTCCAATAATCTCAAATTTAAGCCTTAAAACTCAAGGATCTTCTCCAACTCAAGGATCTTCTCCAGACTGGGTTTTCACTCATGACTTGCATTAAGGATAATATAAATTTACTTCTAAACATATTAAAAACTTATTAGCATGCTTAAAAATTAAAATTGAAATGCAAAGACTTAATAGATGTTTTTATGAAAATTAGGGCTTAAAATCTCTTAAAACGCCAATAACTTACATTTTATTCGGTATATATGATTTTCTTTCAAAGTTTTGAGCATAGTTTTTGGAATCAATAATCAAAACTTATCATAACATTAAATCTATAATCATTTTCTGATCTAGATGAATCAATGACCATTCACCCAAGCTAGGGTTCAAAACTGCCCACTAAAGTTTTATAATCACAAATTTGGTCGTGAAAATGGATTAACGATTATAAATAATACACTTGAATATAATATATAACACTTGGATACAAGAAGTTTCATCATTAATTTGTGATTAGTGAACCAAGGACCTAGTTCACCATCGATGGCAGCTTCAGTTCATCAATTAAGCATAAAAATGGAGAAAAAAAAACTACATCGAGGTCTTCACTACACAGATTTATTGCTAGAATTCCACTCACATTTTAGCAATTGCTTCATAATTTGAAATCTTCTCACAAATTCAAATTCTCCTTCTCATTTCTAGGAGTAAATTATCCAAATCAGAGAGGAAGAAGCATCGGGGTTTTAGTCTTCAAATATTTCATCATTTGGTCCTCTAGTCTTCAGTTTCACTAAATACTTTAATTAAGAATTAGTATTTACTTTAAATCTTAAATTAATTTATTTCTTTGAAAATTAACTTAGATCAAAAAATTTAGCCCAAAAACGTAAGTGTTACAAAAACAACTTCCTCTAGTGACTCCTTCGTTCCGTGTTAGGATTTTCAGGATGAGCAAAATCTGGTTAGGGTTTTCAGGATTAGCAAAATCAAGCTTGAATCAATGTCGTTAGAAAGAGAACTTCAAAACACGAGCACAGTTTAATTGAGTCAGCTATTCCTATTCAATCATATAACACTTGATTAGGGTTTATCCATGCCAATTTGCCAGCAGTAAACTTAATACGTGCATCGTCAACCTCCAATCAATCAATTGCAGTATTGCAATTTACCATAGACTAAACCTCAACACCGAAGTTCACATAAACATCTACTCATCCACATAACATAGTAAAATCTAAAGTTCAAAAAAGAAGAATTTATGCAAACAGTCGTATTTTCAAACCAAAATCAAAAACAATAATTTTGATTACAAGTGTGATCCAATTGAATCATTCATCTAAGATCAACGTAGATATTCAAAATCGGGGTCTTTATAATATATCAAAAGCAGTAATTTTCAAAATTCCTACATAGAAACACTCTGAAGAAAGATAGAAATACGAGAAAATCAAAGCATCATCAATCAAGAGGAATCTCCACATCACCATCAGCAATTTCCTGTTGCAAATCCTTAGGATCCTTCCCATCGACAGTACAACCAACGGAAACACACGTCCCGAGGATCTCCTTGACAGTTCCCGCCAACTCCTTCGCCATCGACCTTGGCCTCATCACTTTCGCAATCTCGATAACATCATCTAACGATATGTTTCCAGAATGCTTAATATTCTTCACCTTCTTCCTGTCGCGTTCCGGTTCTTTTAGGGCTTTGATAACCAGAGCAGCGGCGGATGGAACAACGGAGACTTTAGCTTGCCGGTTTTGGACGGTAAGCTTGACGGTGACTCGCAATCCCTTCCAGTCCTTGGCGGTTTCTTTAGCAATGTCTTCTCCAATTTTCTTGGGAGAGAGACCAAGTGGTCCGATTTTCGGGGCGAGTGAAGATGCAGCTCCGACCTCACCACCGGTGACGCGGACGTACACGTCAACAACCTGAGATGGATCGAACTTAGGAGGCATTTCTCCGGTGAATTGGGATACAGAGGTGGTGAGGTGCGAGGGTTTGAGAGAACGGAAGAAGTGCAGAAATTAAAGTGTTAGCCATAACTAGGGTTTTGTTGGTTAAAAAGATTAGATGGACTAAGCTTCATAATGGGCCTCTATGATTTTGGGCTTGAGTATATGGGCTCACTTTATTGGGTAGATTATTAAACTTTACAATGTTGGGCTATCAACTCTTTTCATGTATCATGGATCTTAATGACATGTAAGATACTATCATAATCGGGTCTTTTGAACACCTTTTAAGTTGTATAGTTTAGAACTTTAGATGGCTTTTTTTTTTTTTTTTTGCATTTTTTATATTTAATTATTTATACTACCTAAATGAAATATATGCAACAAATTTTATTACAATGATACATCATATCAACAAAATAAATAATACAAAAAGTTGTATAATATATTCTCATCCATCCCGAAAATATCTATACATATGCCAAATGATTGAGTTGCCCTGCTCACGAACTGTGTGCAACTTAAAACCGTTTCTTTACCGTAACAAAAAACACACCAAAGTAGGTGTGTGTTAAATCAATCTCTTCTCCTTCTCTTCTACATAACGAGTGATGCCCGGACCAAATTGGGAGGATATGCATGTCGATGTTGTTCCTTACTCTTTGAAAGCACAAAAACCTTTAATAGAACCGAGTAAAGTAAGAAAATGTTGGTTATATGTTGACATATTTCTAATTATTTATTCAAACTCAAAATGATTTGATGGTGAATGGGAAAGGAGGTCCTTAAATAGGGATGAAAAGCCAATTATGAGTTATGGTGGAAAGTAGAAAAATGACAAAGCAATGAGCATCTTAGAAAGGATATGCCATTGGCACAACACATAAAGTGCACCCAAATTGTCCAAGCCCCATGTTGCTTGGTGGCCACTGTCACATTCTTTGACTTATGTCATACTTATCTGCTTCATTTTTATTTAAGTTTTCATCGCTTTATTGTTTAAACCAAGTTAATTTCCTAATGATTTACATCCGAAACTACAAATATTGTTTTAGTAGATGCAATAATGTAACATCAAGAAAACTCTCATGTCATAAATCACTTTTGATTGTTATGTTAGTGAACATAACTTACATTCCAAAGAAAAAAAAAACAAGGTAACAACTTTCATTATTAAAATTAGTTATTCAATATCTTATCAACAAAAAAAAAAACAGGCCCTCTTTATATAATCCTAATCTCATTCATTCCACCACACACACACACACATCGTTAGGCTATATATTATTAACAGCACACAACTCGTGCCTTTAAAAGCCTGAAAAAAAAAACCCGGTAATGATGTCATTGCCTATACCCAAGTTTGGGCTTTTCCTTCAAAGTTGTGGCTGAAAGTGATGAGTCAGAATTGGGCTCGGTTGACGAAGTGGGCCGGGCCCAAATCTTGATGTGGCCTTCTCGACACACAGTGAGCACGGATTCGTGTGTGAAAATTAAACCCGAGAGTGGGTCCGTGTGGACCCGGTGGACTACTAAAGGGGAGAGCTTTGGGACATCACGCATGCTTGGTGCAGGTCGTAATGTGCCAGGTGGCCATGCGTGGTCCCAGTGAGCTGACTGGCTCCCAGTGCTCATTGTTGGGGACCCACCGGGAGCCCTACGCATTGGGACCACCAACTCCTCCATTTCCAAATCCCATAATAGTACTTGTGTGTCCTGTTGCATCAAATTATAATTTAAAATTACTTTTTTTTAAATGATTTATTTCGTATATAGGGGTATTTTGGTCATTTAATGAAAAATGGATATACTAATACAACATTATTACCTGACCAACAGACCCAAATCGATATACAACATTTTCACTAGTTCCATCTGAATTCGGGGCAGACCAATATGAATCAAAAGCAACCCCGCTGACCTGTCACCCGCATTATAATAATATCAGAAATGAGAAAAAAAAAAACAAAAAGGGTATAAATGTAAAAAGACATACCCATGAGCTATGTCCTTCACCCCATGCAACAATTTTCCTTTCTTCCATACTCCATACTTGAACAAGGTCATCTTCGCCTCCGGTTAATATGTATTTACCATCCATGCTGTCATTTCATTGGTTATCAGTTACACTTGTTTTTTTACGAAAAAAATTAAATAATAATAATAATAAATTAAAGAGTTAAAGAAAGGAGCTTTTAACCTCCAAGTGCAACATAATAAAGCACCATAATAGCTTTTGCCTCCACATATAAGTTGTTCGGTTTTAAAATCAAAAACTCGTAGATAACCTACAACAAATATTATCTTAATTATAATTAATAAACTTATATTTACAAATACAAGAGATTAAATATACAAATCATTATATATTATATATTAATACCATCCCGTCCAACAATAGCTATATAGGCTCCATCACTTGAAAAGGCAATACTGTTAATTGAACCTTGACATATATGCCATCTTGCAATTGGATTCTGTACATAGGTAATAAAAATTTAAAATTATAAATTATAATTACATAAAAGAAAATATACAAATTTGGATACATGTCAATTGGTACCTTGCTGTATCGTGCATGTGAGACAGAAAACTGATTTTGATCTTTAATAACTGGGAATGAAGGGTCCCCTGAACCATCTTTATTCTGGATATATATATGGTAAGATTAATAAAAATATTAATAAGTTTCCATTATTCACCATATTAATTAGAGACAGACTATTATTATTATTATTATTGTAAATGTAAATGACTTGCCTTTTCATATACATACATATTTCCATCTGCATGTGCAACAATGAAAGTTCCATCACCATTAGGTACCCATGCAATACTTGTACAGCGAGTGTTATTGACACATCCATCTTTGTTATAATGTTGGGCTCCAACAAGCTTTTTTCCACCATCTTGTAATTGTTGTCTTAATGACACTGAATAAACTACAAAATTCACAAAACATGTAATGTATAACAAAAAACTGACACTAGTCGTTGAAATTTTGTCTTTTGAGAAAAATAGAAATGAATACCATCTCCAGAATTCAACCCAATGAGCAAATCATGTCCATCTTTAGCATCTGGATCAAAAGCATGGGAAATGGGATTTGAAGTGCTGAAATTTATAGACTTTATAGGATCCTGCGTATGACATTATCACATTAGAACCAAATTCATGTTGATTGTTGAAGGTGAAGTAACTAGTAAGTACCTTATCTTGAGAATTTAAATCACTGATGAAAATTGCATCACCAACGTTGAATATCAAATAAGTTCCTTTTCCATCAAAGTTTGAATTGGGTGTATAGCTATTGGTATATGAAGAACTTAATGATCCAACTTTAGTTGTTCCACTTGAAGATTTGCTTCCACCATTGCCTCCAACAAAACTAAGTGCTCTACTACCATTTCCACCACCTAAGAACTTTGCTGCTGCTGATTTTACACCACTACTGATGCCTATACTTGAAGATGAAGATGACAGAGCATGGACAGGTTTATCCTTTAGATGAGCAAGAGTCACCTGGGAAGAATATCATGATTTCGAAGTCAGATTAATCCTTGTTACTTTTCTTTATGGAATGGATATCGAACAAAAGAAGATATTAGTGATCTTCACATCTTTACCTAATAGCATACATAAACAATCCAACAGGTTACCAATTTTATGTTCTTACAGAAACGCCCAAATACTGAATTAAATACAGGTCGATTGAAACAGAATTAGAAACATGAGAAATTTATCGAAATTAGGGTGGATCAAGGACCGGAAATATTACCTGAGTAACAGACTTGCCATGGGCATAGTGAAGGAGACCGGCGGGATGACTTTTCTCGTACTTAAGCTTATACCTTCCTTCCGGCGTTTTGAAATACGTCTTCAAACCCGGCGCTTGTTGTCCGCTGCCGGCAGCGTTGTTGTTGCCTGTTGTTGACGACGAAGACATCATTGAATTATGGTTCGATGCACTGATCATCGCCACGATCAGATGAATAGCTAGTGCTATGTACTGTGGAATTTGTACAGGAAAACGCAGAAAGAAATTGGATCAAAGCACATTGTTAAAAGCTAGGGTTTACGGAGGTTTCAAAAGGTTTTTATGATGGTGATGATCCGTTGAGTTGATTTTTGGGGCTTATCGATACTGAAAGATCAAATTTGCGAATGGAAATCAATTGACAATTGAAGTTAAACTGTCGTAGGCAAACAGGGACAGGTCTCTGGTGTTGTTCATATGCAAATTTTCCTAGGGAAAAATAAGAGCATTTTTGCCTTTACTTTTTTGTTTATTTGGCTAAGATCATCCACGTTGCCATTCGCCACTTTTAACCTTCTTCTAAGACCAATTTCAAAGTATTTGAAATAGAAATAGACTTTACAAGTAGAAACCACGGGTTAGAGAGAAAAATACTATTGATTAGTTCAAATTAATGGTTACATTGTTATGAATATCATGATTTTTTTGTGTAAATTTTGGAAATAATTTTAACAAAATATCAATACTACAAAAATATAACTATGAAGAAAATGCAGCACCAAGAGATTTAGTGACAACAAAGATGAATGAATAAAGCCCCAAAAGTTGCATACAACTTCACTATCACCATTAAAAGCAACATGAATTTGAGAACCAAAACTATTGCAACATTCAGTCCCTGTGTAGAATTGGTCTCCAATCAATAACCTTTATACTTAGAATAAGTCCCACCCACAAATGTGTACAAAATAATGATGAAATTTGAAGCCAAAAAAACCTTGTGCACAATTTTGAAACACTACCATGTGTAACATGTAAAGCTTTTGATCAACACGATATACACATCTCTCAAGAAACCTACACCCTATTTCTTAAGGTGAACCCAATTTTAACACAAGCCAAAGAAGTATATTTATCCAGGTCCTAAAAATTGGTAATATCTGTAACGAAAAAGTTTAAGCACGCACAACCACCTGCAACAATGACAGGAAATGGGTGCTGCAAATCTGCAATTGGTAGATTTAAAAGTAAAGTGCTTTAAAATAAGCTAAAATGAAAGTATGATGTTGTAATTGGGTGAATTTCGAAGTACCGTGCTTTTAAATGAACTAAAATAAAATAAGCTAACAAGTCATTATTTTTATAATTGGGTGAATTTCGAAGTACTATGCTAAAATAAAACAAGCTAACAAGTCATTATTTTTATAATTATTAACAACACAATATCATCTTGCTTCCCTTTGAATTCCAAAAAATTCTCCTAACAAATGCTTGTTGTTTTTTAGCTCCAACCTGCATAAAAAAAGTAAATACTTAAATATACAACTAACAAAGCACAAGATTAAAAGAAACATTTGAATATACATATCCCACATTGGAGCAGTATTGATAAAAAATTGCCCATTTGCAGATAATGAAAAATGAACATACCCTGAAATCAGTCTTCCCACGAAACTTCCTCGACCAACCAACTTTCATAAACAATCTTTGCATTTGTTTTCTTTATACATTTCTACATAAAAACTAAGATAAAAACACTTAATTTAAAAAGCCTTTTCACATATTCTTTTCCCTCTAAGGTAAATTTCATATTCCGAATGAACATATAAATGCCATAGAGAAAAGAGTTTATATTTTTATTTGATTCTTATAAAATCCCTAAAAAAATGAGCCCAAAATAGTGTAAGAATAAAAATATAGTTGTACAAGCATAAGAAAAGTGAATACATACTTACCATCTCTTGAGCGATCACTTACCACATCTACACATCTACACTGAATGAAGTTGGAAATATAGCAAAGCCATTTTATAAATACCAATTCAATATAAGTCGTATTCTTGTTTGGCAATCTGGTGTTCTACAAGAAAAAAGGAACATTTTAAATTTAAAAATTAAACAATATAACATTATATAAGAAGATTAGATCAAATGAAAAGCAATCAATTTATGACGAAAAAAATAATTGCAAACTCATATAAATATTTTGGTTCATGCGTTTTGTCAAACAGTTTGTATGCATTTTCCTTTGTCACATTACCATCTTTTATGAGGCCAACGACTCCACCTTCCACAACTCTCTAAATTTCATTGCTACCATCTTTCAATCATAAATAGATTCCCAAAAGAAAATAGTGAAATCATCAATTCAAGATTGTTTGATGCACAAGAACTAAGAAACGGGACTTTATCATCTGTAATCGTAATCCAAGAACATGTTGTTGGATTAGATGTATAAGCCCATAACTATTATTGGTATGTACTCGACCCGAGAGTAGCATGGTCCATTTGGTTTGCATATCATTAGGACAATTTGTTAGGATGAATTCTTGAGAGAAGGTTATATATGAGTTATTAATATATTATAAGTTATAATATATTAATATGAAATCATATGGTTTTAATTAGTATTGATCAAGAATTAATTTGGAGTTAATTTAGTGATCAAAAGAGACTAATTAAATCTATGGGGACTAATTATTATAATTAGTTATATTTATATGTGTTGGGCTTATGATCCATGTTGAACTAAGTTTATGTATGGATACATAAAGAGTTGGGTCATATGAACCATGGATCATAAAACTCATGGGTATGAATTTGGGTTATACCCATGACCCTTGGAATCCACAAATATAAATACATGCTCTTAGCCTCAAAAACACCACTAGAGTTATTCTTGGAGTTCATGGGTGTTTTTGGGTGCATGGAATTCACTCTCAAGTTCTACCTTTGTCCATGATGTGTTGTGACTTCATTTGAGGCTTCCACACTATTGGGGCTAAGCTCTTAAGGCCAAATACATCAAGACTTCAAGCCACATAAAAGGTATGTTACCCTAACTAGTATTTTGTATGGTATATGACAATTGCATGCTAGTTATAGGCTTAATACCTTGGAAACACCATTGCATGTATAATTAGTGAAAACATAGATCCATGGTATTTAGGGTTGTATGTGCACCATATGATATTGTAGTATACAAAACCCAACACATGTAAGAAGAAACTCGATTTACCTGGCTAAGATAGGATAAAGGGAGTTAATACTGGAAACTCTTTATTGTGACTCTTTTACCTTGATAAGATATGATGAACCTCTTGACCATTTTAATTGGTTCCTAACGATTAGTTCCTTTCGAAACTTTGTGATTATGGTGTTGAACGACTATTAGGGTTTTCAAAGTGATAATCAATATAGAGAGAGGGTTCAGGCGGCGAGAATAAAGGATGAAACAAGATTGGGATGAATGATTTCCCAAGATTTAGGGTCTTTAGTAAATAGGGGTGCAAACGAGTCGAGCCGAGCCCGAGCCTGGTCAGGCTCGACTCGGGCTCGTTTAAGTTATATGAGGCTCTAGCTCGAGCTCGGCTCGATTCGAGATTTCTTTTACTGAGCTCGGCTTGAGCTTGTAAAGAAATATACAACCTCGGCTCGGGCTCAAACTCGATTCGTTTTTTGTCTCTCTCTCTCTCTCTCTCTCTCTCTATATATATATATATATATATATATATATATATATATATATATATATATGCATAATTGTGGCCCAATCAAAATTAAATAAAAAATTAAATAATTAAATAAATAAATAAATAAATAAGGTTAATTTAGTCATTTGTTTAATAACTTCCAAAAATAAACTCGTCACCATCTTTCCCTCACCCCTTGTCGCATACATTAACCCGAACCCTAGATTGGATGCTCCAGCCGCAACCTCTTCAACCGCCGCCGCCCAGCCGAGATTGACCGCCTCAGCTGCTGCCGATGACGCCCTGAATAGTCGAGCATTCTTTTGCGCCGCTACTGCCGACGAAGCTGGAAGCCTGGAGCTGAATCTTGCACGATGTCGTCGCCTGTGACTGCAAGGATCGATGAGTTCGCGGTCACCGCCGCTTCTTCCTTCCCCGGTGATGCTGGGAGCAATCAGGACGACCGTCGGGGCTAAAGAATGGACCTGGTTAGCAGCTGCGTTGTCATGAGCAATCAGAAATCCTCGAGTAAGAGCATCTGATATCTCTCTATTCATTCCTTCGCTTTATATGGATTGATGTCACGAACGACGTTGTCCCATAAATATTGACAATACCTCTTTTTTGACTGATGAAGATGTTGGATTAGTGTCTAAGTCCATAACTATTTTGGTATGTACTTGACCCGATGGTGCATGGTCCTTTTGGGTTGTCTTCACCAAAGCAACTTGATAGGATGAAATATGGAGAGAGAGAGAGAGGATTAATTATGATTTATTAATATATTATGAGAATAATATATTAAAGGAGAAATCATATTGTTTAATTAATATTAGTCAATAATTAATTAAGAATAATTTGTGGCTAAAGACATTAATTAAACTTAAGGGACTAGAACTGTCAATGTATGATAGTTGAATATTGGGCTAATGGACTCCATATTAGAGGGGTGGACGAATTCTATGGGGAAACCCATTAGAAATCGTCCAAGGCCTCTAAGGAGGGAGTCCATGGGTTGCTTAGGGCCTAAGCAGTCAAATTAGGGTTTCCTTGTTAGATAACCCTAATAGCCTCACTATTTAAGGACCCCTAGGGCACCAAAAACGTGGCCAACTGATTCCTTAGGGTTTCTACACGTTTTTGGGTGCCTCCTCTCTTCTCATTCTTCATCCTCTTGCTCTTGGTGTTTGTGAGCCATTAGAGGAGTGACACTTGTGACTCTAAGCTTTCTAAAGCTATTACAAGGAGGATTTGAGATTGTTATTGCTACATAACAATCAAGGTAAGATCTAAACCCTATTCTTATGTTAATATGATTAATTGTATGCTAGATCTAGGGTTTATAGTTTGGATATCAATTGCATGTCATTAGACAAATTAGATCCAAAAGCTATTAGGGTTTGCATGTACACCATAGGAATGGTGTTTTGCTCAAAACCCATCAGTGGTATCAGAGCCATGGCTGTTGGTTTGTTTGTGATGTATTGATGCTATTGTGAATTATCCTTGCTTAAAGATCGAAATTTAGGGTTTCTGGGGGCTGAACTCGCCGAGTCCATAGATGAACTCGCCGAGTTCATGCCTGACTCGACGAGTTAGCTGGTCAGAAAGAGGGAAAATCGGGATTTTGTGCTATTTTGGCTGTGGGATAGTTACCAAATCGTTTTTTATTGATATAAATCAGATTTTTATGATATTGGGTGATTATCTTTGCCAAAATTAAAGATAACTTCATATTAGTTAGATAATTATTTCCTTATATGATTAGATTTAATTATTTGAATTATTTGGTGAATTATCTTGCAAGAATTTGAACTAGGTCAAATTAGATAACCACCAATTAATTGTTAATTGCCTTATTTGAATTTTGT